TTATGTTACAGGATTTTTCCCTTTTTCCCTTTTGAGATATTGTGAGTAGAATTGTTTCATTTCATGTTGAGACTGTTTATTGATAGTGTATAGAAGTTCTACTGATTTAAAAAATATTGACCTAGAATCATGACACTTTGCTGAACTCACTTATGAGATCTAGTAGGGTTTTTTTGTAAATTCCTTAGACATTTTTATATACTGGATAATATCATCTGTATACATTTGCAATCTCCACCTAAAAGTTATTAGTTTCTTTTTGTTGCATAATATTCATGCTAAAACCTCCAGTATATGTTGAATAAAAGTGGTTAAAAAAAGATATTCTTTTCTTGTTTCCAAACTTAGGTTCCCAAACTCAAGTTTCACTATCACATGTGATATTAAATGTAGGTTTTAATAGATGCCTTTTAGGGGCATAGAAAGTACCCTTGTATTTCTAATTTGCTTAGCATTTTATCATAAATTCATGTTGGATTTGTCAAATGTACCTTTGTGACTATAAAAATTATGTTTTTTTGTATTCTGTTGTATTATTTCAATTGTTTTTAAATTACAAAATGTCAAGGGGGTACAAATGTTTGTGGTACATGGACCACTTTTCCAGTGCTTGAGTCATGGTTATACACATACCCATCACCCAAATAGTGCTCATTGTATGTGTTATGAAGGTTTTTGCTCCTCCACTCTTCTCCCTTCTCCCCTGCTTTATTTCGGTCAAGTGTTACTTTCCTCTGTGCACATGTGTACTCATCAGTTAGTTCCAATTTATTAGAGTACATACGGTGTTTGTTTTGCCATTCTTGGGATACTTTCTTAGGATAATGGTATCCAAATTCCTTTCAAATTGCTCCAAAAGGCATTAATTTATCCTTTTTATGGCTGAGTAGTACTCCATGGTATGTATATACAACATTTTGTTGATCCACTCATGAATTGATGATATTTTATTGTATTTCATAATCAGTAGGCTTACTGCCCATTATAAAAAGTTTGAGTTCATGTATTACATTGGCTGATTTTAAAGCAAATCAAATTTAAACCAAATTTACATTAAACCAAATTTACATTTGTGAGATACCTCCTCTTGGTGATAGTGTCTAATAATTTTTATATGTTGTTACATTCACTTTGCTATTAATAGCATTTTTGATGATTTATATTCTATATTTATAATTGATAATAGTTCATAGTTTTATTTTCTTATGATAATTTTGCCTGGCTTTGTTGTCTGGAAAATACTAGCTTCATGGAATAAATTGGTAAGTTTTATTTACTCTATTTCTTTTCTAGAAGTGCACTTGAAGAACTGAAATAATTTTTTTATTAAATGTCAGATAGAATTCACCAATGAAGCCTTACATGCCTGGGTTTTTCTTTATGGAAATATTTTAAATTAACTTAATCTCTTTAATGCTTATAGGTATATTCATTATAATAATAATTCTTCTCGAGTTTACTGAAACAACGTGTGCAGATTGTGTGGAAATTTATTTCTAAGTTGGAGTATTCCATGTTTCTAGATTTTCATGGCAGTTGAGATAGAAGAAAATGGAAGAATAACATGGCAAAATGAGGGATTGGAAATCCATGATGACCCAATGTCTCTGGGTCCTCATGTAGAAGGGGGCAGATTGCTGTACCTGTTATGCTTACTACTTGTATTTGTTACATGAGATAAATAGTGTATGTAGTCTAAAACAAATTAGGAAGCTGTGCCAATTATGACCAAAAGAGAGACTGAAGCTATCTCACTTTTTTTTTTTTTTTTACTTTTTATTTTTTAGATTCTCACCTGCTGTATGAGCTATCTCACTTTTCATCAATATTTAGTCTAGACAGAAATAGAAATTTGAATAACAACAAATACAAAATGACACAATAAATAAAGAATGGTATGAAGAGATGGAAAATCTGATAGATCAGAGTGGTTAACACTTAAGATATATGATGTATTAGGCACAATTAAAGCCATCTATGTGTATAGATTTAATAAAAATAAGTTTAATATATAACTGAAAATTTCATGGAAATGAGAAAGTGACACCTTTACAATCATATTAGATGACATTAAAATCATCATAGAAATCGTCTGTTCTGGCATAAAACAGATAAAGAAACATAAAGATTGTTAAATAACTTTATTGAAAAGTTTCATTAATCAGGTAAACAAGTAAATAGCATTTTTGAACACTAAACAGAGGATGAAAATAGTTTCAAAACACTGGAGAAAATTCTTGAAAATTCCAAAGTTTTAGTTTTAAAACTACCATTAACTCCATGAAAGAAGAAATCCTACAGGCAATATTAATATTTTCTAAGTACTATAAAATGACAATAGAACTCATCAATTACAGTGGAATTAATAAGTAATATCAAATTACATGCAAATTTATTTTTAGGTAATTTAAAATAACTGCTAGTATAAATAGAAAATCTAAGCTGAGATTACATTTACAACATCAGAGAATTGCTAAGGAGAAAAATAGTGGCTGGTACCAAAGGACCTAAATTCATGTAATTAATTTTACCAACACTATCTTAATACCACAGAAAAACAATAATTCTGACCATATATATTCATTAACATGCAGGATTATCAGCCAAGAAAATTGTCCAAAGCATAAATCTACTTTCCAGTATTAAAAAAAGTTGTACTCTACAAATTATGTTACCATATGATATATATTGGTGGTCGTGTTCTAAATGAAGAAAATTGGAAAATTTTGTGGTATTAATAGTTTATTTTAATTAAATTTCTATTTTTATTTTAAAAAATAAATAATAGTTGTACATACTTATGGGGTGCATGTGATATTTTGATACAAGCATATAAAGCATCCTGATCAAATTGGTGTAATGGGAATATCCATCACCTCAAACATTTATCATTTCTTTGTGTTGGGGCTCCTCTACTTACATTGAAATATACAATAAGTTATTAACTATAGTCACAATATGGTGCTATGAGACTCTGTTCTGCCAGAAAATATTTTTATGAAATACTTTACTGATGTATGCTTATATATATTTGATGTTATATAACAAATATATATATTTTTCCCAATGTTTTTTAATGCAGAAAACTAAAAATTTTCAAAAGTTATAACAATCCTGATAATATCCGCAAAAGCTGATAAGAAAATATGGGACCTTCTTAGGACCAGAAGGAAAACAAAAAAGTATCCACAGGAGTTGTCAAACTGAGAATCCAGATCTACCTTCAAGTGCTGGTTGATCACGAGGAACTCAAACTTATTTGTAATTGTCCAATTTGCTCCCTTGAAATAAAGAAAAGTTCTGACTGAATTTACCTCAAATGTAAGATTTGCCAGATGGGAGAAGCAATTATAAATTATAGCGTATACAAAAATAAAGGAGAAATTAGACATCATATAAACCAGCTATGATAAATATGCTTAAGATGTTTGAGAAAATACAATGAATAAAATAGAAAATAAAAAGGATTTGGAAAGAGCAGGGAATTATAAACTCAATAAGAATATTTGAAAAAGCTAAATAGAAATCAATTGAAAAATAAGTACATTTAATGTAGAATGTTGGGATTGGACATTAAATTAGGCTGAATGAGGAGAGAATTTGTGAGCTGGAATTTTTTTTTTTTTTTTGAGACAGAGTCTCACTTTGTTGCCCAGGCTAGAGTGAGTGCCGTGGCGTCAGCCTCTAGCTCACAGCAACCTCAAACTCCTGGGCTCAAGCGATCCTCCTGCCTCAGCCTCCCAAGCAGCTGGGACTACAGGCATGTGCCACCATGCCCGGCTAATTTTTTGTATATATATTTTTAGTTGGTCAATTAATTTCTTTCTATTTTTTTTTAGTAGAGATGGGGTCTCGCTCAGGCTGGTTTCGAACTCCTGACCTCGAGCAATCCGCCCGCCTCAGCCTCCCAGAGTGCTAGGATTACAGGCGTGAGCCACCACGCCCAGCCTGAGCTGGAATATTGAGCAGAATGAATACCACCAAATAAAATAAAGAGAAATAAATTAATAAAAATAGAATTATGAATATATGAAGAATACAATAAAAAGAAAACATAAAATATTCACTAGAATATATAAAAATGATAAATCATAACAACTAAAAAATGATTTACAAATTTCCAAAATTAAAAATGGGACACATATCCCTGCATGCTGAAGTGCAGTGTCAAAAAGATAAAGAAAATGCTCAACAGGAGGAATAGTCCAACTGCATGACACCAACAAGATAGGAAATTCTTAAAATCCATGAAAGAGAAAGGACAATAACCTCTAAAGGTAAGAGCAATGTTAATGAGTGCAAAAACATAGTGATATAGAGTGAAAAAGATCTAATATTTGATAGCACAACAGAGTGACTGTAGTTAACAATAAGTTACTGTATACTTTAAAATAGCCAAAAGAGTAGAATTGGAATGATAGCAAAATGCTTCAAGTGACTGATACCCTAATTATTCTGATTTGGCTATTACGCACTATATGCCTAAATCAGACTATCACATGTACCCTATAAATATATACAATGATTATGTACCAAATAATTAACAAGAAAGAAGAAAAAAAATCTATGTAGCATGTGGAGAACCAGAAAGCAGAGAAACATAAATAATATTGAGCAAAATTATTATGAAAACCATAATTGGATGGCTAGCTAAAATATCTTCAGTGAATGAGTATATTGCCTTCAAAAGCACAAAAAAATGAGAGATTTTATTGCCAATAGCAGCTTCTTCAGTGTACACCCCAAGAAGATAAAAATGTTCCTTTATATGGTGTTTATGGAATCAAAATTAAAGATAAGAAAACTGTAGACATACAAGACTAAAATTGAACTAAATAAACCATCAAGTCTTTTGTTGTACCAGTTTCAAAAATATTTAAATATAATAAAAAACATAATACTACACAATTTAATTAAATCTAATATTAAATTGCATCCTTTTCTTGGCTTTTTGTACTTAGCAAAATTGCATGCTATTTTAACAACTTAAACAGAACATATTTTTGAGAAGATTATTTTAATTATTAATTTGTTAAAAATCTATGCCACTGCTGCTGCATATTTTGCAGTATGTTGATTATCCTTTTATTAGAGGTGAGGAGCACCAAAGGACTGACAGAGGCATAGACATTGCGCACAAGCCTCTGCACACCCAGGACAACTGGGTCATATGCCCTTAAAAAGCTTGAAGAGGATGAGATGCTCAAGTCCGCCCAGTGCATGACCACAAAGAAACTCACCAGCAGCAGGATGGTCCGGGTGGCCCTTTTCTCTGGAGAGTCTTTTGAGGAGAGGCTGGCTGTGCGAAGGTACTGGGATCGCTTCTGATGCCTAAACAAGAGAATTACCATGTATGTACTTGAGAGCAGCATAATCGCCACAAAGGAGACATCTGTAAGTATTGCCAGCATGACAGAGAGGCTCCAGACAATGCAGCTTACGGAGGAAAGTGAGCAGTACTTACTAACAGTTAACACATTTGTCTGGCTCACATTAGAAGCAGCCACAGTGGAGAAGAGCAGGTAACTACTCAAAGACAAACTGAGCAACCACTGGAAGAAAAAAACATGAAAAATAAGATCTGTGGATTTCTTTTTAAACCTCACCAACCAGGTTGTGCTGGGGCAGATGGTGACGGCCTGGGCAAGCTCAGGAGGCAGGTGGTGCAGATGGAGAGGCCCGCATCACCCTGCTCAGGTAGAACAATGCCTTACACTTGAAGTCATTCTGAAAATTTAGTGACTCAAAAAGGTCTGGAGATGCCAAGAACACTGCGATGAGAAGTAAAATGATGTGAATAAGAGCCAAGTGACAGGTGATGAGGTTGCTGGGCTTTAGTCTGTGATCCAGAATGAGTGTGAAGATATGGAAGAAAAGTAGAGAGGTGTTGGCTATGAGTCCAATTCCCGCTTGGAAATAAAAGGCATCTTTTAATGATAACATGACCATCTTGATGGGAGAGAGGAAACATATTTTTATATATCTGAAAAAAAGCAATACATCTTATCATCAATGCTATTTATTCAAGTCAAAATTATAAAAACCATTATAATTTTACCTATGTATGATGATTAAATCTAAGTCATATAAACTCTGAAAAGTATACTTGAACAATACTGAGGTTAGAATAATTGAGATGTATAACGCTCAAAAAAAATCCCCACAGTCATTCTATTCATCTTCTGAGATGGAGGCAGGTTTAATATTTTTCAAGATCACTTAAAACTAAAGTGGCCCATAAGTACAAATATGTAAAGCAACACAGCTAATGTGACAGTGTGCTTGGCTTGCACTCAAAAAATCATGGCTCAGGCAGAACATCACTCTAATACCTCCTGACGTGTATGAGTCTATAAAGAAGAAATTATAGTTAATTGAGTAGTTTTTTTTACTTTCTCCAGTAAAGGGGCATATTTATTCAACTGCCAGAACCAAGCTACCCATACCTCCAACCACACAAGTCTGCACCACAGCTTAGCTGAAATCTGTTCTCATGTTGTACTCAGGAAAATACCAGGAGAATATTAATTTAAAGGCCCAGTGGTCTCCACATGTTCAGGGTCACTACTCAGTACAAGTTAAGCAATATTTTGGCATAACCACTAATACATATGGGATTATTTCATAACTATATATCTAAATAATTGTTATCATTTATATATATTATAGGCAACAGATTAAAAAGATATATGGCCTCCTTCTCCAGGGAGAGTCTAGAGGGCACTGGTGCTGAGCCTGGGCTGGAGAGCACTGTGGTCTCCATGAATTGGGACTAACAGACAAAGCGCAATACAGTCAGTTAAATATGAATTATAAATAAGTAAAGAAATACATATCTATAGGTACATATGTAAATGTATAGATATATATTTTTTTTGATATATTTTGATATATTTTTTTTGAGACAAGTATTGCATAGAAATAATGCGTGGAAATACTGAAACACAGGTAGACTAATAAATTATCTGTAGCTTTTTAAAATGTTAAACTTAACTGTGTCTTGTATTTTTATTGGGTAAATCTGGAGACATCAACATAAAATAGTCATGAGATTTGAAAACATGGTGCGGGCCTGGGTGAAATAGAATTGAAGAAAAATCTATAGAGGTCATATAGTTTAGTCTGAATATAAAGGAGACTTGGTTCCTATATGATACCAATTTATGAATCTTTATGCTCATCTCAGGACACACTTTGAGATGTGGCAACCAGGTTGTCCTTGGGCTGAGTCAAGCCCCTGTATAATCTTTGACAGATAATGAGCATCAAGTCTATCTGCATTTTTCTCACTTTCATGTTAGTCTATTCTAATGTTTTAAGCCCCAAAGCATTTACACAATTATGGATATGTTAGAACAAACACAGCCATTAAGTGGACCAGGAACCAAAGACTGACCATAAAGTCCCAGGGCTTAAATTAGATGTTCGCAAAAGAGAAGGACTGTAATGAAAGAAAGAAGCCATTTACAAACTCAGTGCTACTTTGCATCAGAGAATATGTTATTTTGGAGAAAATAAAGTCTGATAAAGTCTATCTCTTCATCTTTAAAATAACAATTAATACTTAGAATATTTATATTATTTTATACTTAATAGCATTTTAAAACAGTTCTTTGCATTCTGCCTGACACATCTTTAAGTATAAACCTGTGTCAAATAACACCCTGTGTTTGTCATATTCTTTATCAACTTCACCATAGACTATGAATAGCTTTGTAAAAGATATGGCTGGTCTTTGACAGCATAAAGGGATTATGAGAATTGCAGGTGACCTGGCTGGTAGGACAAGGGCTTGTTCATTCGGTGGCAATAGTTGGCAACCTAAGAAACACAGATGGCAATGGTACATAAAGGAGTTATCTTCACCACCCAGAGGAGCTCCATGAAAATCCTTTCTAAAATGCACAAATGGCGAGAGAATAATTACAAGTTCCAGACACCACAGAAAAATTGAAATGTATTTGCTATTCTTTGGCAATTTAACTTAGAGTAGGGCATAGCTGGAAGCTCACTAACCATGGACATTTATAATCTCAAGACATTTTATTTTAAGCTCATCTGAGGAAAAACACGGGCAAGGGAAGTGTCACTGCAGAGGTAGGAGACCAAAAAAGTCACTGGAGAGCCTGGGCTACAAATTTTAGAAACCTTAAAATTCTATCTGGCAGTGTATTACTGTGGCCACCAGAACCAAAAAAGATACACTTCACACAATAGTTTTTTCCTAACAGCTTTTAAAGTGTTTTACCCTTACACCCGTCTGCATCGCTGTAGCAAGAACATACTCACATAACCTGCGTCCAGCACTGTATTAGGAAGGAAATCGAGGTATGTCCTTTGTGCTCAGGAACCCTGATCAGGATCAGCGAAGACCCTTCCTCTCAGACACCCTCCCTCCTCTCCATGAAATGAGGGGGCTTTTAACAAGAAATATTTTAAGACAAACTTAAAATTCTCTAATGCTCAGGAACACAGTAGCTTTATACTGATCAAGTTTCTTGAGATTTTGATGTTTTCATAGGCTACAAATTAGACAATTTCTCTCATCAGCATTTTGTTCCTTTCTGTTATAAACGGTATCCTCATTCTAGCCTCTCTGTCTTCAATTTTAATTGCATGTAGATCCTAGAAGATGCTATTCTTTTCTGAATTCAGAAAATCTTACCTTGTGAATTTCAACAACTCAGATGAAATTTACTTGTGAGAATTGTGACTATGTTTTATTTAAGTCTTACAATTTGAAACTTTCAGAGTAAACAAGAGGAATACTAAATTTAACATTTTTTATATAGTAAGGAAATGCTTTCTTTCAAGTTTGCATATTATTATTCTTTCATGAATAAATGATATCCCAAGCTTATATACAAAACATTTTAGATTTTCGTCTATTTAGAAAATAAGAAACTAAATTTAAGAAAATATTTTGCATCATGCTGAATATTGCCAGTCACCACTTATATTAGTTATCATTAATCCCACAGTGATTTAATACACAACAGAAGGTGATGATTTCAGATACTTTCATAATGTCATGAAAAGAAATAGAGGTAATATCAATTACCATATTAGCAATTACTATAATCGAATAAATCACAATATTCTCTCTGGTCATCTTCTAAAATCACATTAGTGTAAAATGTTAAATCTTATGTTTTATGACATCATTATTTTTAAACAGTCCTATGTACCAGAAATATACTAACTGTCCCCTATCTTTAAATAGTAGGGTGACTAAATCATTTTGAACTTCCTCAAATGTATTATGTCATTAAATATAAAACTTTTTATAAAATAATAAAAATAATTTTTAAATAATTTATTGAAATAAGAAATTTTGAAATAAAATATAAATTCAAATATAACATCATAAAATTAGAAATTCCCTTCTAAAACTCCACACACTTGCTCATGGAATTAATGAAATTTCTATTTTACCTGGAAACATCTAATAATTAGTTATTATTTAATGATATACAAGAACAAAATTATGAGAAAGAAGTAAGCACATCATGGAGAAAATCCTGCCTGATCCCAACACCCATCGGAACCTTGGGCTCTGACTGTTCACAAAGCTGAGAAAGAAACACGCACCCAGCTGAGGCTTTGGAGTAAGTACATGTATGTGAGATAGGCCCCCAAGACACGGGTATAAGGAACTGATGCTGTCAGCTCATGTCCCTCGAGGAACATAATTGTCGTGTCATCTGAAGAAGCAGGACAGCCCTGGCCTTGGGATCATTGGAAAGGAGAGTCACCAAAGGGAAAACTGAACTTTTTAATTCCTAGAAAACAGCAGGGTAGGAACAGGTGGGTTCCAAACTTTTTCACATGTACACATGTTTTTCCAATGCCATCTTGGCCCATGTGGTTTGTATGCTTTCAGTCCTTGTCGGCAAAACAGCTGTGTCCCAATAACACAAACTTCCAAACAAATAAAATACTATGTCAGATTTTGCAGTGTGTCTCTTTTGGTTCAAGTGATTTTTGGTGGCCTCCACAGGGGTTTCCCTGGTTTTCAGGTCACAAGTACAAGACACAGAACCACCCCCCCTCCCTCCCTCCCCGACAGTCCCGCCAGCCTCCCCCCCATGCACCGAGGACCTGCTCATCCATGGGGAGCGCTTGCTCCTCTGCCGGTCTCATTATGACCAGTCCTCTCTGTCCTCGGAGAGTTTGTTTGTGCATCCACCTGGCCATTTCTGCAACTCTCTCCCAACACAATAATTGTAAAGTACTAGATGCTCAAATATTTATTGAAGTTAACACAGTCCCCAGTGTCTTTAGATGTCACTACATCTGTCTCATTTTTCCACCTGGAAATTCTGAAATAA